GTCCCTTCAACATCTGACGAGTCACAGCTCGTAAATCCCTGACGAGTCCCTTCCACATCTGACGAGTCACTTCAACACCTGACGAGTCACTTCAACACCTGACGAGTCACTTCAACACCTGACGAGTCACTTCAACACCTGACGAGTCCCTTCAACATCTGACGAGTCACAGCTCGTAAATCCCTGACGAGTCCCTTCAACACCTGACGAGTCACTTCAACACCTGACGAGTCCTTCAACCTGACGAGTCACAGCTTGTAGATCCCTGACAACCTGACGAGTCACAGCTTGTAGATCCCTGACAACCTGACGAGTCACTTCATCTGAGATCACAGTGGATGTAATGAAAACAGACAATTTGGAGCAGTCCGATTAAACTCCATATTTACAGCGTGTTACACCACTTGCTTGATGTCGTGTTAACATCTAACAATGTTTGTGTTTTTCCTTCTTCACTTTTTCTTTCACTATTGAGATGTCAAACATGCATGAGAGTCACATGAAAACCTCCACTCATTGAGATGTTTCCAATACCACATTCACTGTATCACTTTAACTCACTTCTGATCTGTTTTATTGGAGATAAAGTCGCCGTTATCTCTCTCTCTCTCTCTCTCTCTCTCTTTCTTTCCCGCTAACATCCAAACGTGTCCTCCTCCTCTGGAACATCTTGTCGTCTTTCTCTGCCTCGTCTCCTCAGGCCGCTCTGCTGAACTCGTTCCCGGCGATCTTCGACGAGCTGCTGCAGATGTTTACGGTGCAGGAAGTGGCGGAGTTTGTGCGCGGCACTCTGGGCAGCATGCCGTCCACGGTGCACATGGGACAGTCCATGGACGTGGTCAAGCTGCAGTCCATCGCCCGGACGGTGGACAGCAGGCTTTTCTCTTTCCCAGGTAAAGGATCCAGGTTGAGTGTCCTTATCTAAACTGCACCTGAACACCCAGTAGATGGTGTCTCCAGCAGTGAGGCCTGTCGCTTCTGTAGAAATCTCTCTGTAGTGTCTTTATTATTCCCACTTTAAAATCTCACAGATGATGTCAGTTTATGTTGAGCAGAATATATTAATGACCAATCGAATCCTCTCTGTGAATCGACTTACTTCTAAATAATATTCATAGTGTGTCAGCAGTGAAGCTCTTTATTCTGCATTCAAAACACTGTAAACTCATTCAAACACAAATATGAATCACTCAGTTCTGTTCATGTTGATCAGGAACAACTGCAAATAAATAAGAGTGTGTGTGCGTGCGTGCGTGCGTGCGTGCGTGCGTGTGTGTGTGTGTGTGTGTGTGTGCGTGTGTGTGTGTGTGTGTTTGCACGGCCTCAGAGTCTCGGAGGATCCTGCTGCCTGTCGTCCTGCATCACATCCATCTGCATCTGAGGCAGCAGAAGGAGCTGCTCATCTGCTCTGGAATACTCAGCTCTATATTCTCTATTATCAAGAGCAGCTCAATGGTAACACACAGACACACACACAGACACATGAAAACTGCTTCTGTTGAGCGATATCATAATCAAACAAACCCAATAATTATAGAAATAAAAGTGATGGGATCACTTGTGTTTGTGCAGCACAAAATCAAAGAATCATTCATTTAATTCGGCCTCAAAATGTGAAAAGTTCCTCACATACGGACTGTAAACTCTTCATGGATCATTTTGGATTTAGAGTTTCACATATTTGAACCACTTGTTCCAGAATGTCCCTGAACTCAATTAATCCGCTGAGATTTAATAACATCAAAATGCTGCCTTCAATAACCTGTGATAATAAAAAGATACATCTGTTTCTCTAAAGCTACTCCTTCATCTTCCTCCTAATGCCCCGTCTCCTCCTCCTCCTCCTTCTCTAGGACACCTCTGTGCAGGAGGAGGTGGAGGTGATGGTGGAGTCCCTGCTGGACGTCCTCCTGCAGACCCTGCTGTCCATCATGAGCAAGAGCCAATCGCAGGAGGCGGTAAGAGGTCAACGCTGTCCGCAGTGCACCGCGGAGATCACTGTTAGTAACTAACAATACGACTACTACCGCTTCACCTCCTCCGCCTCCTGCATCCGCCTCCTGCATCCGCCTCCTGCATCCTGCATCCGCCTCCTGCATCCACCTCCTGCATCCTGCATCCGCCTCCTGCATCCGCCTCCTGCATCCACCTCCTGCATCCGCCTCCTGCATCCGCCTCCTGCATCCGCCTCCGGGCCGGGCAACGCTTCACCTTCTAGAGTGAAATCTGAAATCACAACAATTTTGTTCTAACATCGTAATCATTTAATACTCAGAATATGAAGTCAATAATGTGAATTATTGCCTGACCCGAATCCATCCATCCTTCTCCTCCCTGAACCATCGGTCCTCATTAAACATCACGCATCCTCCTCATTCACCGAGCTCGTTATATTTTAGATTTGTCAGTCAGGTTTAGTTCGTTCTTAGTTTCATCTGCTAATTCATTTGGTTTAAGATTGCTGGTTGCATGACGACATCATTGTCTTTGCGCCTCCAGCCGCATGCTTCACCCTGCAGCTCCCCTCACCAGAGGGTGACGTAGATTCTGTGGTCCATATTTCACAGCCTGCTGTGAGTTTAACAGACGCTGGAGTCAGAGAGCAGTTTCATTCATCTGCTGTCATCCTCTCCGATTGGTCGCTTCCCTGAGAGCTGCTGCCGCGTGATAGGCTCTCATGCCTCCACCCTGTGTCCTGTTGGCAGGGAGAGTACGTGTCCTGCCTCCTGTCCCTCCTCCGCCAGATGACCGACGTCCACTTCCAGCACCTGATGGAAAACTTTCAGAGCAAAGAGGAGCTGAAGGTAAAACGGCTTCGTGTCACAACAAGACCAACTTACACCAACAATAAAACTCCTCCTTCCTCTTCCTTCTCTCCTCAGGAGTTCTTCTTAAAGGTTTTGTCAGTGTTCAGGAATCTGATGAAGCTCAGTATTTTCCCTCGGGACTGGAACGTCATGAGGCTCCTCACCAGCAAGTAAGTGACACAAGTAGCAGAGCACACGCGTGTGTAACAGCGGCACGCGTGTAACAGTGACTGTTCCCGTCCTGCAGCATCATCCTGACCACGGCTCAGTACCTCTCACCTGCTCTGCACAAGAACTTCACGGAGGCCGAGTTTGACTTTAAGGTAAAAGACTTTTTCCCTTTTAGTTCCTTCTGTGTTTGTAAGGTGGAATGTTGTTTTAACATTTGTATCACTATTTAGCCATAAAACTGAATTAACTGAATCCCTTTCATATGTTTGATGTGTGTGTGAGAACAGGTGTGGAACTCCTACTTCAGCCTGTCTGTGCTGTACATCAACCAGCCCAGTTTACAGCTGGAGAGCCTGAGTCCTGCCAAGAGGAACAAGGTCTTAGACAAGTAGGAACACACACAATCACGCGGACACACACACGGACACACACACTCACACAGACACACACATTAATCCGGCCCTGATGATGTTCTCCCTTGTGTCCAGGTATGGAGATATGAGGGTGATGATGACCTACGAACTCTTCAGCATGTGGCAGAAGCTCGGTGAGTCGGTGGTGTCACTCTGAGTCGGTACCGATAATAACCAGAGAAGAAGAACCTCTTCCTCGGAGCTCTGCTCTCTTTTGCATGATTTCTGTCTGCAGCAGCTTTAAAACATCATTTTCATCTGTTTCCAATAACTGAAAACACACAGTTAGAAAAGCTTTCAGTCAAATACACAAACCGACTGTTTCCTGTTTCCGTCCGCAGGTGAGAACAAGATCCACTTCATCCCCGGTATGATCGGGCCCTTCCTGGGGGTGACGCTGGTGCCTCAGGTGGAGGTGAGAAACATCATGATCCCCATCTTCCATGACATGATGGACTGGGAGCAGCGCAAGAACGGGAACTTCAAACAGGTACGGAAACAAACGCACCCTATCAGCTTTGACCATGAGTTCAACTTCATTCATTCTGATTGGTTTGTTCGTTTAGGTGGAGGCGGAGCTTATCGACAAGCTGGACAGTTTGGTGTCTGAAGGGAAAGGTGACGAGAACTACAGGGAGCTCTTCGGTCTGCTGTGAGGAACATTTCAGGAGTCTTCTTCTTCTTCTTCTCCTTCTGGTTCTTCTTCTTTGTCTCCTCTAACAAAACGAACCCTCAGAACCTTTTGCTCTAACATGCTGTTTGTGTGCTTTGCTCTGTGCTGCCGGACTAGAACCCAGCTGTTTGGGCCCTACCCGAGGTATGCCCCCCCCCCATGGAGACACCTACTCAATGATCAGTCTGTAGGACCTTCTCCTTTCTCCCTGCAGAGCAACCATCACGTTCCATCACACGTCATTTATCTGACGCTTTTATCCAAAGCGACTTACAATAAGAACATTTAACCATAAGGAAACAAACTCAGAAGAACAAGAAAGGGCATTTTCCTCAAATAAGCCGATGTACAACTTGCCGTAGATAAGAACCATTATAAGTCCAATGTAAGTGCTCCAGTTAGTTAGTGTGTTAGTGGAGGTAGAGTCTGAAGAGGCGTGTCTTTAGTCTGAAGATGTGAAGGCTCTCTGTGGTCCTGATGTCTTCAGAGACCTCCTTCCACCATTTAGGAGCAGGACAGCAGAGAGTGGAGATCTAGTCCAGTGTTTTGCTCTCAGTGAGGAGGAACAAGCAGCCAACCTGTCGTATTGTCTCTGGACAGCTTCAATCCTTCTCAGATGATCCCACATGTCATAAAACCAACTTATGATTGTGGTCTAAACATCTGCACCATATTCTAGAACTGTAGTTACTGACAGTTTGGACTGGAGAAGGTGGACAATCGATTCTCCATGAAAGTAATTCACTCCGGCTGTAAATCACCAGATATGTCAATAATAATAATAATAATGATGTTTATAATGTTATAATAACGATAATTATTATTGAATATGACATAATACGTTGTTATAATCTAGTTATGAGACAGTCGTCTGACTTTATTTTGCTTTTCTGAAGTCTTTTGGAGAAGATCGAGCAGGAGACGTGGAGGGAGACGGGGGTCTCCTTCGTCACTTCAGTCACCAGGTTGATGGAGCGACTGCTCGACTACCGGTAACACACACACACACACACACACACGCTTCTATATTAATCATCTCTAGTTGTTTTAGCGAGTAGTCAGGAACTCTTTTCTCATAAGCGATTGACTTTATAACCTCATCTTCATCTTCCTGGAGGAGGAAGAAGAACCAGTTGTTTTTGTTGTGTTTCATGGTTCCATCTTCTCTTTAGGGACTGCATGAAGGGGGACGAGACAGAGAACAAGAAGATCGGCTACACCGTGAACCTCCTGGTGAGAGTCATCCTCAACATGTTCATCTTATCTCCATGTTTCTGTTCATCTTCATGTTCATCTTCACTTTCATCCCCATCCTCTTCTTCACAATCGTGTTCATCCTCATCTTCATGTTCCTCTTCATGTTCATCTCCATGTTCATCTTCATGTTCCTGTTCATGTTCATCTCCATGTTCATCTTCATGTTCATCTTCACTTTCATCCCCATCCTCTTCTTCATATTCGTGTTCATCCTCATCTTCATGTTCCTCTTCATGTTTACGTCAGAACATCTGGACCTTCACAGAGAGGTTCTACCTGTTTTTATCTTCTCAGAATTTCTACAAGTCTGAGATCAACAAGGAGGAGATGTACATCCGCTACATCCACAAGCTGTGTGACATGCACCTGCAGGCTGAGAACTACACCGGTAAAGACACACACCCACCCACCCACACACAGTGTGTGGGTGGGTGTGTGTGTGTGACCATGGTCCACCCCCCCACAGAGAGCTGCCTTCACCCTGCTGCTGTACTGGGAGCTGCTAAACTGGGAGGAGAAGCTTCTGAAGGAGTTCCTGCATTACCCCACCCAGACGGAGTGGAGCCGCAAGGAGGCGCTCAGCCGCAAGGTCATCCACTACTTCAACAAGGGCAAGGTGGGCGCACAACACGGACACACAATACACTCACTCACTACTACACAACATCCTAATTAGAAAACATTTATTTGACACAACATAATAAATACACAACCGTAGTGCACAAATTACAGAGGAGTAGATGATGTAAATGACTCGACTACAACACTCACGTGTGTGTGTGTGTGTGTGTGTGTGTGTGTGTGTCCCTGTGTGTGTCCCTCAGTGCTGGGAGTTCGGGGTTCCTCTCTGCAGGGATCTGGCCTTTCAATACGAGTCTCTGTACGACTACCAGAGTCTCAGCTGGATCCGGGTGAGCTGCTCCCAGCAACCACAACACAACAGACACACAACCACGTTCATACTGGAGAGGAGACGCCCGTCGGGATGACTTCCTCCTCTGTGTCTCTCTGTCTGTGTGTGTGTCTGCCGGTGTGTAGAAGATGGAGGCGGCGTACTACGATAACATCATGGAGCAGCAGCGCCTTGAGCCCGAGTTCTTCAGGGTCGGATTCTACGGCAGGAAGTTCCCCTTCTTCCTCAGAGTGAGATGAACTTCTTCTTTCTATCACATCCTGAAATGTGATGTCATCATTATTCAAAGGTTTCTGCTCCTTAACAGAATCTGATACAGTGTGACGACGTGTGGAATGAAACGCTTCAGTGAAACGGTGTTAGCGCACGCGATGCGTTCAAGGACCGCAGGAACGGTACAAAGCTGATGTCTCGTGATTGTTTAAAGTAAACGTCTTCCTCTCGGCGTCTCTTTTGCTTTCGGTTCCTTCTCTCCAGAACAAAGAGTTTGTCTGTCGCGGCCACGACTACGAGAGGCTGGAGGCCTTCCAGCAAAGGATGCTGGGAGAATTCCCCCAGGCCATCGCGATGCAGCACCCCAACCAGCCCGACGAGGCCATCCTGCAGTGTGACTCGCAGTGTATCCTTTCACTCACAGGGGGGGCGGGGCTCCGGTGCACAGGGACCTCGTCCGGTCAGAACCTCCGTTCTTTCCTTTGACTCCTGGGCCCAGACCTCCAGATCTACGCCGTGACCCCAGTGCCGGACAGCGTCGGCGTCCTCCAGATGGACCGAGTCCCCGACCGCATCAAGAGCTTCTACCGGGTCAACAACGTCCGGCGGTACCGGTACGACCGGCCCTTCCACAAAGGACCCAAAGACAGAGACAACGAGTTCAAGGTGGGTGGTCCGGACTCGTCCACCTCTGGTCTGCAGGACTTGGGATCTGGGCCCATCTGGACCAGTAGAATCAATCACATTTGGGAGTTCAAAAGTCAATACGCACGTCCTTAAGTCAACAATAGATGTGCTAATTAGGACGTTTTATTACGCAACAATAAAGAAGGACAATATTCAGTAGTCTTGTGTCCACATGGAACGTTTTATATCATGTTGGGGGGATTTGTGGACACGTTTGTCTCCTCGTGTTCCGCTGTCTCCTCTTTTACATCACATCACATTACAGGTTACATTTTGAACCCATAGCTTTTTACATTTTTGCCCGGGGAGCAATTAGGGGGTTTGTGTCTTGCTCAGGGACACAGTTTGACTTGGGACATGGGGCAGCCGGGACTCAAACCACCAACCCTGCGGTTACTAGCGCACCCTCTACCCCGACCCCCCCACCTCTTCTTGAGGTGTCCTGTGATTTGTGGATAGTTTGTCTCTTGTTTGTCTCTCGCTGTCTCCTGTTGGTGGACATTTGAACTCCCCTTGTTGCGTCGTGTCCGTCCAGAGTCTCTGGATCGAGAGGACGACCCTGATCCTGACTCACCCTCTGCCGGGGATCTCGCGCTGGTTCGAGGTGCAGAAGAGGGAGCTGGTGAGCGAATGAAAGACCTCTTCCACAAGCTGTAGACCTCCTGGTGGAGTTTGTACATCACCTGCGTCCCCGTCCCCCAGGTTGAGGTGAGCCCGTTGGAGAACGCTGTCTCCGTGGTGGAGAACAAGAACCAGGAGCTGCGGACCCTGATCAGCCAGTACCAGCACAAGCAGCTGCAGGGCAACATCAACCTGCTGAGCATGACGCTGAACGGCGTCATCGACGCCGCCGTCAATGGGGGCATCGCCCGGTACCAGGAGGTGGGCCCGCAAAGGGGGGTCCAGGACCAGAACCCCAGAACCATAGACCCATAGACCCATAGACTATAGAACCGTAGACCCATAGACCCATAGAATCATAGACCATAGACCCATTGATCCATAGACCATAGACCCATAGACCATAGACCAATAGACCATAGACCCATAGACCAATAGACCATAGACCAATAGACCATAGACCCATAGACCAATAGACCCATAGACCCATAGACCATAGACCAATAGACCATAGACCCATAGACCAATAGACCCATAGACCCATAGACCAATAGACCCATTGATCCATAGACCCATAGACCGTAGACCCATAGAACCATAGAACCGTAGACTCAAAGAACAATAGACCCATTGATCCATAGACCCATAGACCGTAGACCCATAGAACCATAGAACCGTAAACTCAAAGAACAATAGACCCATAGACCATAGACCCATAGATCCATAGACCATAGACCCATAGATCCATAGACCATAGACCCGTAGACCCATAGAACCGTAGACCCAAAGAACAATAGACCCATAGAATCATAGAACAATAGACCCATAGATCCATAGAATCATAGAACCATAGACCCATAGAACCCCAGAGCAGTGTTTAATTATTTTCTCCAGTTGAATATCACACATGCTGGCGAGTCTAATATGATACTATTAAATATCCTTTTATGACATTTCAGATGTCAGGATTAATAATAAATAACAATACGATAGCGTTTGTCTTTAGATTAGTTATTAGTTAGATTTCGTTCTGATTTAAATTCTATAGTAGAATAAAATGCATGACTTAAGTAGTATCTGTAAGAACAATGAGGAATAAAGGTTTTAATACGTATTCATTCCCAGGCTTTCTTCGATAAGGAGTACATCACTAGCCACCCTGAAGACACGGAGAAGATCACGCAGCTCAAAGACCTGATGCAGGAGCAGGTGAGACCTCGTCAGCACCGTCGCCAGGGGCAACCAGTGAAGAACAAGCCCCATCGGGAGGGAATATTAAATCATAATTCAATAACAACACAAGAGTGATGTTGTAAATATTTAGAGTTATTATTATTTTTCTCCTAACCCCCCCCCCCCCCAGGTCCACGTGCTCGGGGTGGGTCTGGCCGTACACGAGAAGCTGGTGCACCCAGAGATGCGTCCCCTCCACAAGAAGCTGATCGATCAGTTCCACATGATGAGGAGCAGCCTCTGTCAAGTGAGAACCACAAGGGCGAGGGGTCCTCCCATTGGTCCTCCCAGTGGACCTCCCACCTCCCATTGGTCCTCCCAGTGGTCCTCCCATTGGTCCTCCCGGTGGACCTCCCATTGGTTCTCCCGGTGGTCCTCCCAGTGGACCTCCCGGTGGTCCTCCCGGTGGTCCTCCCATTGGTCCTCCCAGTGGTCCTCCCATTGGTCCTCCCGGTGGACCTCCCATTGGTTCTCCCGGTGGACCTCCCATTGGTCCTCCCGGTGGTCCTCAAGGTGGTCCTCCCATTGGTCCTCCTGGTGGACCTCCCATTGGTTCTCCCGGTGGTCCTCAAGGTGGTCCTCCCATTGGTCCTCCTGGTGGACCTCCCGGTGGTCCTCCCGGTGGACCTACCGGTGGTCCTCCCGGTGGACCTACCGGTGGTCCTCCTGGTGGTTATTGATCCCGTAGCTCGTCAATATAGCCATATATCAATATGTCCGCCGGTCAGTCGGCACCACCCCTCCATATGCTTTTAATGGTCCGGCCCGCGTTCGATGTGGATCACAACCTGAAATGAGTTCGACCCTCCTGCTGTAAAGATTCAAGATACTTGTTGTCATAACAGGTTCCTCTGTACAATTGTTATTTTGCTGAGCCGTCCGCCGTGCTCCTCTGGTCCAATCACAGCGCTGCTCTCTGTACTAATGGGAGCTTCGTTGTGGTCTCAGGGTCTGCCGGGTCTAGAGAAGACCGGATCAGGAGCCAGCAGAGGGATCCTGACCCCCCACGGACCCATGAGCCCCGAGAGCTTCAAGCTGCTGCACCGCCACAGGTCAGTGACACACACACACACACACTGACACACACACACACACTGACACACACACACACACTGACACACACACACTGACACACACACACACACTGACACACACACACACACACTGACACACACACACACACACTGACACACACACACACACTATCATTGGGATTTCACCTCTTTGCTTCTGAATGTTTTTATTGTGAAGCACTTTGTTTGAAAATGTTCTTATTTATTATTATTATTGTTATTGTTATTATCTTCTGTATTACTCTGTAGTCAACACACACTTCTTCTCACCGTCACAACATCTGATCTCATCACACCTCCTCTGTCTGTCTGTCTGTCTCTGTCTCTGTCTCTCTCTGTCTGTCTCTCCCTCTCTCTCTCTGTCTCTGTCTCTCCCTCTCTCTGTCTGTCTCTGTCCCTCTCTGTCTCTGTCTCTCCCTCTCTCTCTCTGTCTCTGTCCCTCTCTGTCTCTGTCTCTCCCTCTCTCTGTCTGTCTCTGTCCCTCTCTGTCTCTCCCTCTCTCTCTCTGTCTCTGTCTCTGTCTCTCTCCTCATTGTCTCATGCATGAGCTTTTCTTTTATCTCCTGCATCTCTCTTGTTCGCAAATGAACATTTTGGTTGTTTTTCTATTTTCGGTTATACTCTGCATGTCCCCCCTGGTCCTCCTGGTCCCCCTGGTCCCCCCGGTCCCCCCGGTCCCCCCCCCCTCAGTCCCGTAGCCGTTTTGACTCCGGTTCGCTCGTCCTCCTCTCTGTCCTCTCATAACCGCAGTGAGTCAGGAAACGTTGGCAGCCTTCTGATCCTGGCTGACGGAGTCGTGATGGAGCATCCGGAGGACTTCTACCGCATGCAGGTGGAGTCATGAAATATGCATTAATACGCTCCACCCAATAGTCAATATATCACGGGTACCCAACCAATCAATCCACTACTAAAGATCAATGCATGTAACACGTATTCATTCTTTGTTTCTTACATCTGTCCTCGTCTGCAGGCAAGCCCCTCCTCCTCCAGCCTCAGCTCCACCCACTCGGCACCCTCTCAGATGACAAACTCCGCCCCCCCCGGCTTCAGAGGTGAGCCGTTCAGACCACGTGACAGACAGGTGGATGTTCATTGTTGTCTGACTCTGACTCCTCCCTCTCTCAGTCGGCTCTCCGTCTCTTCCCGACAAATACCGCCACAACCGAGAGATGCTGATGCTGCTGCCGCCGCACCGCGACAGGCCGAGCAGCGCCATGTACACCAACGTCAGCGACGGCCAGGTACGGGGGGTTACACCATCTACACACTCAGGTTCAGGGGTCAGAGGGACCATCGGGATCGGTTAGCTTAGGAAGCTTCCTCACGCGGAAGTGGAGTTGTGTCCCCTAAGCACTGCGTCCTTTCCTACCTTACGAACCCTCCTAACCCTCTTTCCTTGAATAGTGGTTAGGAAGACGGGCGGAGGTCATCTTTTGCCGTCACCTGACTGGTGGAATTACCCACAAGTCATAGCAACGTTTGTCTTGTTCTTCAGCCAACCAACCTCCAGCGGGCCCTGTTCCACCAGGTGATTGGTCCGTGCAAACCCTGCAGCGACCCCAACCTGTCCGTGGCTGAGAAAGGTGAGAGGTCACGCACTCATTCTGACCTACGTACAGTTGGAACCATGCAGTGATGTAACGTCTCCTTCTCCTCCTTTCTCCTCGCCTCCTCTCCTCCTCTCCTCGTCCAGTGCTAACCACTCCCAGTAGCTGGAGCTTGGACAGTGGTACCAGAGAAGCCCTCCCCTTCCTGTCTCATGTGGGCGGAGTCATGCCGCCTCCAGTTCCTCCACGCAACCTTGCTCACGGTAGGACACACTGTGTGTGTGTGTGTGTGTCTGCAGCTGTTTGTTTTGTTGCTTTTTCTAGTTGTTGTCTGTGAGAACTTTGATAGTTACTAAACTATTCTTATAATCAATAATCAGAGAAAACGTGACTTGCTACTTTAAGGACAGAAGATTTTATTCAGTGAACCTTTAGAAACACCTCCTCCTCCTCCACCTCCTCCTCCTCCTCCCCCCCCCTCTCCTCCTCCTCCCCCCCCCTCTTCTCCTCTGGTCTGAGGTGTGTGTGCTTCTCTCAGTCCGTCCTGCTGTGTCTCCCCCTGTAGGCCAACACCTGTCGATGCACTTTGACGCTTTCCACCACCAGGTCAGCGACCTCCCTCCAGCTCTCCCTGCGCGCTCCTTAAGAAAGGTACCCTGCTCCTCTTCCTCTCCTCCTCCTCCTCGTTGTCCTCTTCCTCCTCCTCCTCCTCCTCCTTCTCCTCCTCCTCCTCGTTGTCCTCTTCCTCCCTCTCCTCCTCCTCCTCGTTGTCCTCTTCCTCCCTCTCCTCCTCCTCCTCTGGTCCTGGTTAGTCCGTCTGCTGTCCTGAAGAAAGAACCTTCACTATCTTAGCGTCCATAGTTTGAGGACTTAATGATGAGGAATAAATCTTCATTTAAAGACCATGAATCCAAAGATAAAGAAACCAACAAAGAAACGAAGAGGGAAGCAAGTACGTTAATCTCCTTCCTGTTTGTGGTTTCTTCTTCATCTTCTCTGGAAACCCCAACATAAAATAATAATCATCCAGATGAGACGAGGGCCTGATGATGTCATCAGCTGGTTAGAACGTACTAACTTGTTATCGAGACATTTCTTCCGTCTCTCCATCAGCGTCTCCCCTCGTTGCATCATGACATCATGGTCCACTGAGGAGAACACGATTAACCCCCCCCTCTCTCTGCAGTCCCCCCTGCATCCTATACCTGCTTCGCCCACCAGTCTGCAGTCCATCATGGATGGCAGTAGCTCCACCCTGTCGGGCAGCGCCAGCTCCGGCGTCTCCTCCCTGGGCGAGAGCACCTTTGGCGGCGCCACCTCCTCCTCCGACCCCCCCGCCAGCCACACGGACACCCTAGAGTCCGCCCCCGCCTGCCAGGCCTGGACCACCGACCAACAGGACCTGGACCCGCCCTACCAGCCCTACAGGTACGGCGCCTCCGAGCCCGAGGGCCCGGACGGGGTAAAGCCCCCGCCCTGCCACTCCGCCCCGGGGGGCGGGGCCCCAGCGGGCGTCCAGAATCTTTCTCACCCTTCACACCAACCGGCGCAGCAGCAGGACGGGCTGCCCCACCCCCCACCCCTACCACCTCCACCTGCACCAGCACCACTTCCACCCGCTCTACCTCCCCCACAACCCGCCTCTCTACAGCCTCCACGAGCCCCCTCCGGCCCTGCCCCCCAAGCCCTACCTCAGAGAGGGGTGTGTCCCCCAGGAAGACCCCCAGTCCGCCGCGCCGCGCAACATCTCCCAGCCCCTCATCGCGGCCACCAAGGAGGAGCAGGCCAAGGTGGCGTGGGAGCACGGCGTCCGCGAGGAGTGAGCGCCTCTAGGGGCGCGGCTGAACTCTCAGAGGGGGGCGGGGTTGACGTAAGCCCCTCCCCCCGGGGTCATCGTGCTCCAACATCCAAACCAATCGAAGATTCTTAGGACAAGTTTTCTTCTGACGAGCTCATCGAGTCCGATGAGTTTCTGTTAAATAAAAAAAATCTAACGTCGGTATTTGTAAACAACGGAAAGCGTTCGGTCTCTATTTCATTGATAACGTGAATCAATCACAAGGTTTAGAATCAAAGCGCCTCGTTTCCTCTGAAGATGTTTACACTAAAAATGGATTCTACACGATTTGGTGATTTGGTGATTACGGAGCCGATGGAGCGATGAATCCTCAACGGCCAATCAAACGCCGCGCCGAAGCCGTTTTTTGTACATGTAACACAACACATAGAAGTATACGATGCATTTATATTTAATCCTTTTTACGCGTGGGTGAAGGTAGAAATATGCAAGACAAACACTCGATATTTAAACGGAGAAAATAATAAATATTCACTTTGATTGCTATTTTTTAAAGAAAGCGTTGCTGTACATTTTGTACGTGTTTTCCACTGAAGGTTACAGTACTTTACGGTTCTTTGTATGAAGATGAATCACTTTTGGGTTGTTTTTTACAAATGTGAACCTTTGAGTTATGATGCGTTCAAAGACTTGCTGGAATCGTGTTGTTCTCACTGTGCCCAGAGAAGGAGCCGGTGACCTTTAACCTTTGTGGGAGGCTCAGGATCTACGATTCGCTGGATATATTTCATGCTCTATTTTTTGGATGAGGCAATGATGGTTACTTCCTGTTTATTTCCTTCACCTCTGTTTTAATGAGAAATAAATAAATGGCATGAATATTTAACGTTTAGGTTAAAACACGTTTTCATCCATCAAAAGTTGAAGATGAGCCGTTTTCAGGTTACGGCCGACGTTTTATTTATTACTAATGTTTCAATGTGGTTTAATCCCGAAGGGGAGAAATGTACCGATCATTTACAAGAACTATTGTTTTGCTGTTGTTGTTGTTGTTGTGGCCTCACAACGATCACTCTGTCAGCACGATGAGCACTGACTTTATTCAACAACTTATAATATTCAGATTTTATTCGACACGCTCACTGATATGCATGGAGAAGTGGACAAAATAATAGGAACAGTCGGTTTGAACTCCAAATGATGCTAAAGTGGAATCGTCCAATCAGAAAGCCGGATCTCATGGGGAGGAGTTACGAGTTGGGCCTAATAATCGTTTCATATTTAACTGATTGGAGGAGGGAGGGAGAGAGGAGCGCTCTGATTGGTCGGCTGTCACTCACTGAATGCGTGAAGAAGAACCCGTGTGGACGGAGAAAAGCCGCCTGGTTGAATGATTCCGATTGTTCGGGCTTTTATTTGACGGTGCTGATGGATGTTCCCGTGTATTAAGTCCTGGTGGTGTTAGCATGTTTATTAAGTGTCACGTGTTTCACGCTAGATGTAAATATCCCCTTTTGTTTTCCCACTCACTAAGAAACCTGCTGTGTTGTGGATTTATGATTAACGACATTAAACCATGTTGTTTTATTGACTCACATATGATTCTTATGTTGATGTGAGGAAGAAGTACTCTGTAGTGTACTTACTGTACTTTAGCCTTTTCTACATCACACACAGTTCTGACTTTAATCGTTTTTATATTGAATATACATTCTGATCGTTGTACATTTTATTAACTCAAAGACCGGAGACTTTAAGCACATTAACGCCTCTTTATGCTGAATTATATCAGAAACAATGTTTCTACTTCATTTCCTGCATTTAGAGGATCGTTATGCAACAGTAAATAAAAGTAATGAACCTAATAATTAAATCACACACACACACAGGTGGATACCTGATGTGTGTCTATTTTGAGTAGAGTACTCTGTTACTGCAGTAAAAGTACTCAAACCACACAGTAAAAATACTCTGGTACAGTTGGATGTTACTTCAGAAGTATTTCAGTATAGTTAAACTGACAGTTTAATTTCTATCATCTGTCAGTGGATTAGTATTCCTCTGGCGTTAATGCTGAAGAGGGTTTTTACTTTAACTAATAAATCAACTGTTGTTTGGTCTGTAAAAACAAACATTGGCTAAAGATTAATACATAAATGTTACTGATAGATAGAGATTACACACAAAAACTGCCGGTTAATCAGAGTAATTGATCGTTTCTCCTGTATTTGTCAGATGAATCTAAATTTAGCATAAATGTATCTGACATTTACTGTAAAGTATGACGAGGTTCTACGTGAAGGACGCCACAGCGGCCCGGGTCCTGGTCTCAGTGAGAGCTGTATCTGGAGCTGTCTCTGGTCTCCGTCGTCTTTATCAGCAGCTTCGGGACGGGGGAGCCACCGTTGCCGTGGTTACCGTTGGTGCTTTTAGTACCTGGACGCAAATAATGACGTTGACATTTGAACTTGTCAATAATTGGAATAAAGAATGTTGCAATTCTAGATCAAAGAAATTAAAATGAGAAGAAGAGACTTTATCGTTCAGATCAACACAGCCAGATGTTTAGAGCGGTGCTAGCTAGCTAGCTACACTGCTAACCAGCCAGGTATGTCCCCATGACAACCAGAGGGAGTTTCTTACTGTAGCTGGAGACACTCTGGATGTTCAGGATGGACTGATGTCCAAGTCTGAAGGAGAAGAAGAGACGGAGACATGGTGATGGTGTTTTATGTGTCTCACCTCCTCTACCCTCCTTTCACATGTCCTCTCTTGTCATCTCACCTGTCCTTCTTTCCTCTGTCCTCCCCTCTCTTCCTCTCTCTTATCCCCCGTCCTCCTCTGTCCTCCTCTCTCTTATTCTCTGTCCTCCTCTGTCCTCCTCTCTCTCCTCTTCCCCTTCTCTCCTCCTCACCTGTCCTCCTCTGTCACCCTCTCTCCTCTCCTGCTCTCACTTGTCCTCCTCCTTTCTCTGTTTCTCTCACCTGTCCTCCTCTCCCTCCAGCAGCTTCCTGTAGGTGGCGATCTCGATATCCAGAGCCAGTTTCAGGTTCATCAGGTCCTTCAGGTGAAGAAGAAAACTTTAGACCTTGACCCACAGCAGTCAATCAGCATGTAGCCCCGCCCTAAAGCGCCCCTCCCCTTTTGGTCTGTTGGACTCTAAATGGACCATCAGTCACTAAATGAACATCATGCTGAAGAAGACTTGAAACTAGAGACTGAGACATAAACTCATGTTTACAATGTTTACTGAGGGAATAAATCAAGAGATTCAAAGATTTTTATTGTCAGTTACACACGCCCTGTGTATTGACATTGTTGGGGCGTGTGTAACTGACAATAAAAATCTTTGAGTCATTTCCTCATAGACGTCTATGGGAGCAGAGGAGTCGCCCCCTGCTGGTCACTACAGAGAAGTAGTCATTTCCTCATAGACGTCTATGGGAGCAGAGGAGTCGCCCCCTGCTGGTCACTACAGAGAAGTAGAGTCATTTCCTCATAGACGTCTATGGGAGCAGAGGAGTCGCCCCCTGCTGGTCACTACAGAGAAGTAGAGTCATTTCCTCATAGACGTCTATGGGAGCAGAGGAGTCGCCCCCTGCTGGTCACTACAGAGAAGTAGAGTCATTTCCTCATAGACGTCTATGGGAGCAGAGGAGTCGCCCCCTGCTGGTCACTACAGAGAAGTAGAGTCATTTCCTCATAGACGTCTATGGGAGCAGAGGAGTCGCCCCCTGCTGGTCACTACAGAGAAGTAGAGTCATTTCCTCATAGACGTCTATGGGAGCAGAGGAGTCGCCCCCTGCTGGTCACTACAGAGAAGTAGAGTCATTTCCTCATAGACGTCTATGGGAGCAGAGGAGTCGCCCCCTGCTGGTCACTACAGAGAAGTAGAGTCATTTCCTCATAGACGTCTATGGGAGCAGAGGAGTCGCCCCCTGCTGGTCACTCCAGAGAAGTAGAGTCATTTCCTCATAGACGTCTATGGGAGCAGAGGAGTCTCCCCCTGCTGGTCACTACAGAGAAGTAGAGTCATTTCCTTATAGACGTCTATGGGAGCAGAGGAGTCGCCCCCTGCTGGTCACTTCACAGAATGCAGCTTTAGCTTACACCTGAAGGAGACCTGGACATGACCTCATGTGTGCCCTGTCTACTCAGGTAATACTCACCTGGTACTCTCGGAGCTGTCGGGCCATGTCCTGCTTGGCTCTCTGCAGAGCTTCCTCCAGGTCTCTGGTCCGAGCTTTGGCTTCTTTCACAGCCAGCTCTCCTCGTTCCTCGGCCTCAGTTAGCTGGTTCTCCAGACCGCCACGCTAGGGGGGTGAGGGAGGGGCATATTGAATATACCATCTAAAATGATCTAGAACGATTTTTTAAGATTTGTAGAAATATTCTAAATATTTTTTAATGATCTAAAGGGATTTAAATGATCTTGAATGAGGATATTATAGGATCTAATTGATGGACCCACCTGAGCTTTGACCGCCTCTATCTCGCTTTGCAGGCGTCCGATCAGCCGGTTGACCTCTGCGACCTCGGCCTTCACCACACGGAGCTCGTCTCCGTACTGACTCGCCTGCACCGACATCTGGTCGAACTGCAGAAATATGAAATAAAGATACTTCAGATTCAAGTTTTACAAATAAAACCCTCATCGTTTTAGGAAAGAACCAGCAGCGCTGCTTATGAGCCACTAATGAGACACAACACAACAGCATTAGCATGTAACAATATGACTCCCCCCTGCTCACCCTGCTCTTGTACCAGGCCTCGGCCTCCTCCCGGCTGCGGGCCGCGACCTCCTCGTACTGCGCCTTGACCTCGGCCACGATGCTCTCCATGTTGAGGCTGCGGCTGTTATCCATCTGCACCACGACCGACGTGTCCTTGATGCCGGCGTGCAGCTCACGCAGCTCCTGGTATGTTTTAGACACGCATACACATATAAGGGATTAACTAATGCATCTAATTATCTGTTATTTAAAGCACAGGTGTCAAACTCGCGGCCCGCGGGCCAAATCCACTACGGATGACTTTGCTATTGGGAGAATTACAAAAAGGTTGCTTCTGACACACACATCTGGGCGACACAAGGGGACGAATTACCTCCTCGTAGACGTTACGCAGGAAGTTGATTTCGTCGGTCAGAGCTCCAACTTTGTCCTCCAGGTCGGCCTTCACCAGATAGGCTGAGTCCACGTCCTAAGCAAAGGGGGACTCACTGAGACAAGGCGTGCTACCATTGGGCGGCTCATGCTAATATCCTCCAAAGCCTCAGAGTTCTTAACATGTTGACGAGTTGATCCTCTGGAGGTCATGTATGTCATGATGTTTGACGGTATACATGTGTGCGTTCTGACCTTCTTCAGGATCACAAAGTCGTTCTCCAGGTTGTTCCTTTTGTTGATCTCGTCCTCATATCTGGACACAAAGACACACTCAGTGTGTTTACATGGTGGTATAATTGTAATCTTTGCTTAGTCGGACTGTGCTCTCTTTCGGGCGGAGGTGCTATTATCCCAATATACCCGGCAGTGAATAAATCCAATCATTGGCCGAACGCACGTCATATCCGATACGATAGGTGGCGCTGTTTTCATTACAACTAGTTGTGATACAGCCATTTCCGCTTCACCGCTTCACCACTACCAACAACAACAACCAACAACATCAACATTAGGAGAAAGATGGCGAGCAGAGAGCGAGGTGAAGCTACATCCCTCTACTATCTGCATGATGCTAACAGGAGCACAGCGAATGCGAATGGCGCTATTGGCAATTTGATAACGGAGAGAAGACGCCGTCCGGATCTCAAGCACGCGCAAAGACGCAAAGTCCAGTTCCTCATCCGATTCACCGCTACATGCTGCAGTAGTCGAACTATCAACTGGATCGGACCGAGTTATCCAGGGGTGTCAGTCGGATCGTAGTCGCACCGCACGTAGTCAAAGGTGTTTACATGAAACGGATCATTGGATTTCAGTCCGACTGAGCCAGTTATTGGAATCCATGTAACCACGCTGACTGATCTGAGATCATCGCCAAGCCTCCACTCTGAATCTGCCCACTTGTCGCCTACTCGTGCTTTTTGTTCCGCGCCTGACTCCGCCTCCTCGTGCTTGTAGTCCTGCCCCTGACTCCGCCTCCTCGTGCTTGTAGTCCTGCCCCTGACTCCGCCTCCTCGTGCTTGTAGTCCTGCCCCTGACTCCGCCTCCTCGTGCTTGTAGTCCTGCCCTTGACTCCACCTCCTCGTGGTTGTAGTCCTGCCCCTGACTCCACCTCCTCATGCTTGTACTACTGCCCCTGACTCCACCTCCTCATGCTTGTAGTACTGCCCCTGACTCGTCCTACTTGTGCTTGTAGTCCCGCCCCTGACTCCACCTCCTCGTGCTTGTAGTCCTGCCCCTGACTCCGCCTCCTCCTGCTTGTAGTCCTGCCCCTGACTCGTCCTACTTGTGCTTGTAGTCCTGCCCCTGACTCCGCCTCCTCCTGCTTGTAGTCCCGCCACTGACTCCACCTCCTTGTGCTTGTAGTCCCGCCACTGACTCCACCTCCTTGTGCTTGTAGTCCCGCCCCTGACTCCACCTCCTCGTGCTTGTAGTCACGCCCCTGACTCCACCTACTTGTGCTTGTAGTCCTCCACCAGGCCCTGCATGTTCCTCAGCTCCCCATCCAGCTTGCTCCTGTCGTTGTTGACCAGGTCCATCTGGCGCCTTAGACCCGCCATGTAGGCCTCGAAGAGGGGCTCCACGTTGGACCGGCCGACCCCGTGACCCTGCAGCAGCTCCAGCTTGGTCTCCAGCATCTTGTTCTGCTGCTCCAGGAAACGCACCTGGAGGAGGAGAAGGAATACAAATATCCTCTGATGGACCGTATGACAGAACCATCACCTCCTTGCATGGATCTAAATGTTCTACATGATCTGCATGATTTTAGGTCTCTTTAGGTTGTTTTTATTGTCTAACAGCATCATTTTGTCTTCAATAATTATTCATTATTTATTTGTTTTGCATGTTTTAACAGAACTTAACAATCATGTTCCTCATTGTTCATGTTTTTATGGTTTATACATGCTTATAAAATGATAAATGATGAATTGTAATCTCAGATCTTAATAGCGTAGATAGCATTATAGCGTTAATAGAGTCAATAGCGTGAATAGCGTTTATATTAATAGCATAAGTAGTGTTTATAGCGTTAATTGCATTGATAGCAGCAATAATATCAGCATTAATAACATTAATAATAATTATTATGAATAACATTAAATAGAATTAATAATATTAATAACTTTTTAACATATCTACTGTAAATAACGTATGTAGCAATAAATTGACTTGATTACTGTAATTAACCAAAAAGGGGCATAAAATGGCACAAACAACTCCTGAAGGGCTCCGTCGTCATCGTCAATCATCTTCCTCTCATTTCATCGTTCCAGGTCAACGACATCATCGCCTGTCTTTATCTCCTGCCCCCCAAAGCCTGCTCCCTTTGAGCCAACGGGTGGGATCATCGGTTACAGCTGGATGGGACATCAGATACCCTCTGAGCCCGGGGGTCTTTAGAGGGGTCAGTGGGGTCAGATTACACGTCTAACTGCAGGCCTCTGGCTTTAGTAGCTAGAGAGAAGGACGACTCTCCTCCTCTCTCCTCTCTCTCCTCCTCACACATCTCCTTACCTGTCCTCCCTCCTCAATAAGTAGCTCCGCCCCAGAGGAGCACAAAGGAGGTGACCCCGTCTCCGTGAGGAGTCAACAATGACTCCTTTGTGAAAGCGACACTGACTCCGTGAGAACGGAGAGGAGAGACATCGATATCCACATATTCACATCCACGTCTCCATCGCCAGTGTCCTTCAGGAGGACAAATACATACACGTACTATATACATATGCTCATATATACACATATATGCACATATATACACGTATATGTACATAGATACATATGTGTACTGTACATAGTAATGGGAGGAGTTGGATTGATCCATAATAATCTGATCAGTCTGACCGTATTGATCATAAATCATAAATGGTGACCTTGTCGATGAAGGTGGCGAAGCGGTTGTTGAGGCTCTTGATCTGCTCCTTCTCGAGGGCCCTGCTGGTGCTCAGGCGGGGGTCGATCTCCAGGTCGAGGGGGGCCAGCAGGCTCCTGTTGACGGACAGCGCGGCCAGTGGGCCCCCCCCCGAGCCACGATGAGGCCCGGAGGCCCCCCCGTACATGGAGCCCCCGCTCAGGGAGACGCCGCCAAAGCTGCTCGGCCTACCGGAGCCCCCCCCGAACCCCCCGCTGCGCACCGAGGATCCCGAGCTGATTCGCTTGGTGCGACTCAGGCTCATGGTGGAGAAAAGAAAAGGTGGAGGAGAGAGTTGCGGGTGTGAAGGCAGAGACGGAGAAATGGAGAACCGGCGATGAAGATCTTCAGTGAGAGCGAACAGGTGAGATATCAGAACACAGTGAGACGCTCCGGTGACCCGAGGCTTTTATACCTCCACAGGGTGGAGTCAGTGGAGGTGGAGGAAAGAGGTGGTGTCAGATGACCAGTGCTCATGAATATTAGAACACACAACAAGTTACCTGAGCAGGAAGTATACAAAGTACCTGAGCAGGTAGTACATTATTATTCTTAAAATATTCATAACTAGAATTTATAGAATCCTAAATTAAACTCGGTTATCATATTACATGAAATATCGAATGCTGTTAGAAAGTTAGAAACTCTTAATTTGAAATAAGTTTTATTTGAGCGGTTCGGTGCCGGTCCGCTCTTCCTTTGTGGTGCGGACGTGAACAAAGACCCAAAAGAGATTAAACAATAATTAGGTTGTCGTGTTTGATCTTCTTTCACCCAACCAGAAGCATCTCAGAGGACCAAGAACGGTGGCGCTGCAGTCGCCATGACGACAGGGAGTCAAAGGACGTGAATTTTATGAGTCTTATTTTTGGAGATAATGTGAAAGTATTCCAAATGTTTAATTCATCAGTTGGCTCGTAGCCACGGCAATAACAACGTCAGCATGTCCGCCATCCTCATCCTCTGTTACATGATTCAACAGATCAAAGTCAAACTGAATTAAAAAGGACCAGAGGAAAGTTTAGTTTAAACATGTATTTAATTACAAATCAAATAAGAATTACTATTATGAAAGCAGGTTCTGTGGTGAGAATAGTGGGAGTCAATAGTTTACTCAATCAATCATTAATGACTTATTCAATGTACTTTCTGGAGTTGAGGACTTGACCCTGAATGGCTTCGGAATGTGTCAGGAGCAATGCATCATGGGAGATGACGCACACAGGGAGACTCGTCCGACTGGAACAAAGTTTGTGTTGATTAACGTTGTCACGTCTGACGGTTTCTTTCCTCCACAAAACGATGATCTGAACAGAGCTCGTGATGTCATCGTCACACCAACGAGGATCCCGAGGGTCACTGCGCGATGACCTCATCCCCGAGAGTCACTGCGCGATGACCTCATCCCCCGAGGGTCACTGCTCGTTCTGCTGTGTGTCCGTGATGGCCGACACGGCGCCCTGCCCCTTGCTGACGTCACTGATACACGCCCACTGGCCATCCATCGACTCCTTCCACAGCGTCACCTGGGGGGGAAGAACACACGTCACAGGGGCGGAGCTCAGGTAGACGTTACCGTGACAACGCTGCCGCCAAACAACCCACAACCCACCGTCACATGATCACGAGACCCGCACAGGAAAAAATATATTTACACATTTAGCGACTTTAGTCAATCATTTTCTAAAACAATCTACAGGAAGTGTCGATTAGTCTGTACTTGTGGTGTCCAATATGTCCCCACCTTGTTGTCCCCCCCGGACACAGCCAGGATGTTCCCCGTGATGGACCAGCTGACGTGCCACACCACGTCGTTGAACTTGTGCAGCAGCTTGGCCGTCCACGTGTTCCCCGCCGGGTCGTCACACGTCCAGATGAAGACACGGCCGTCCTACAGCGGGGGGGTGGGCAGAGGTCAAGGTCCTGACATTTGGGCCGGCAGGCTTCATACACAAGCAAAGTAAGGAAGCATTGAAGCTCTTTTCCTTAGCGTAAGAGAAATCAACAGCTCTTATCATGGCGCCAATACACGACTTCCTTTCACTCAGTGAGGAACCTTCCAAAGCAGAAGGGGCCGTTCCAATCAAGCCTCGTGACTTTGATGAATCTTTGGGCGTGGCCTAATGACACAACACTGACCTGAGAGCAGCTGGCGATGGTGCTGGTGGGCAGACCGATGGAAGGAGCCCAGCCGACGTCTCTCACCCAATCGCTGTGAGCCTCCAGCTTCTGGTCCTCCTTCCATTGGCCGTCCTCCTCTCTGGAGGCGGGAGCAGACAATGAGTGACGGGTAACCATCAAGGACACTACAATAATGAATCTGATATTTCTCTCTAACGTTGTCTAAAAAAACGTCATTCTTCACTGTCAAATCCTGATGGCTACATTACCCACAATGCAACTCAACCATCAATAAAAGAAGAATAGAATGTAGAATATATATTTGAACTTCTTCACTTTTGGTGCACACAACAACTAACGACAGCCGCATGAGGAAGCGGACTCACTTCCAGAGCTTCACCAGGTTGTCGCAGCCTCCGGACACGAAGCGCTTCACGCAGTTTGGCTTCTGACCCGTCGGCTGGTCGATGAGGCTTCCGGGCACCACGGCGGGGGCCCAACTCACCGCGTTGCAGCCAATCTGTGGACAGCGAGGTCGGGGGCATTTAGGGCCGAGGGACACGTGGCGCGGTGGTGCAAATGAAAGCGGGCTCTAACTCACGGTGTGCGCATTGCTGATCTTCTTCACGTCCCACTGCTGATCTCCGGTAAAAGTGAGGAGGGAGATAGCTCCGTCCGAGCTGCCGCAGGCCAGCAGGAGGCCGAAGTCGTAGGGACCCCAGCAGACCGAGTTCACTGCAAAGGACACAACAGGTACGCTAATAACGAGGATTGGACGGGACAGAAGCTAAAGGAGCTCACAGGAAGTAGATACCAGGTCCACAGGAAGCAGTCACCTGATGACTCGTGGCCACAGTACTCGTACATCTTGTCCCAGGACCCGTTCTCCTCCTTCCACACAATCACTTTGCGGTCGTAGGAGCAGGAGGCCAGAACGTTGCCGTACATGGGGTGAGCCCACGCCACCTGCCACACGGGGCCTTCGTGGCTACACACACACACACACACACACACACGCACACACTTAGTTGTGATGACGTCATACAACCGGTGAGAGGTTCTCCCTACCCAAATCAGAAAAGGAAAGTATTCCCTCGATGTTACCATGGTTACGGCGGTCTCTCACCCTCTGAGGTCGGCCACCAGGATCTGACCTCCGTTCCTCACGTCGAAGATCTTCACGGTGCGATCGGAGGAGCAGGTGGCGAGTCGAGTTCCGTAGTAATCCATCTGGGCATCGTGCTGCAGCAAAGAGAAACCATGAATTTGTTTTCACACGCATGTATGTATATATGCATGTATGTATGTATGTATGCATGTATGCATGTATGTATGCATGTATGCATGTATGTATGTATGTATGCATGTATGCATGTATGTATGCATGTATGCATGTATGCATGTATGTATGTATGCATGTATGCATGTATGTATGTATACACTTGGCTACAAAGTTATGACAGGACGCATCCCAAAATCAATAAACATGTAAAATATGTAAAGTAACTACAACAGCTTCTCTTTTAAACGGGGTTTAAACGGTTATTCACTTACTTACAATTATGTGTTTTTACCATTTATACCGTAAGAGTACTTTAACAGCAGGACATTAGTTCTTTTACAGTGTGCTATTAGTACTTATACTGTAACATAGTATTTCAAATCCATGGTATTAGTACTCATACTATAACAGTACTTTGAGGAGGTTGATTTCACAAAGTGAAGTCAGAGTAGCTGATGCTAACGTTAGCTTTAACGATCTGCTAGTTGGGGCTAAAATAAATAACACTTACAATCATATCCTCGTGAGAGGTGTCCACCGTGTTGATGACAGAAACCTGGAACATGAAAATGAATGAACCGGCATGATAAAGACCCAGAAATAAAGACGATTACATATTTTAAGGATTAGCTCTCTGCTATTAGCCTGTCAGCTAACACGACAGAGGTTTAAACGTGAAAAGACAGTTTAAATACCAGCAACCGGTTCTATTTAGGTATTAAATCAAACGTTATTAAACTCACCATAATTGCGACTACAGCACAAAACCAAACAATAACACTTGTTATTATCTTGTGAATGAATAAACCTTCAACAACTATTCCGACGTGGCAACAAGAAGGCACTTCCGGCCACTTCCAAGAACCGGTGCAACGACTGTTTCTACCGGCAGAAACCCACGAACGACTGAACAAAGGTTCCGCAAAGCGATAAATACAAATCTAATATACAGAGGCATAAAATAAAGAATACAATGCTGCATTACACGTAATAAATTAACCACCACCTGTACAAAGTATTGAGCTTTTTACTTATGTCAAAGTAGTACTAAGAATACAATCAATCTAGAATCTGAATATACTATATATAATGTACAATATTTTTTGTTTATTTAAAATCTAAATCTACAAAGTAATTGGTAACTGAAGCCTTCTGATAAATGTGTGTGTAATGTGTGTGTAATTGGTAACTGAAGCCGTCTGATAAGTGTGTGTGTGTAAGGTGATATACAATCTATTATTGCACTAGAGTTCCGGTGTAGGTGCTTTTATTGTGAAGGAGGAGATGGAATGAGAGGAAGTGTTCAACGGCGGCGTTTTGGGGAAGTGAAAATAAAGTCTTGGCGCAGAACCGGAGCACCGTGTAATTGTTTTATTATTAAGCTGAAGTATAGGCGCACCACGTACACACACACACACTCATAAATAGACTATTATTATTTGTATATAATATATAACCATATTATGACGGTATAAAGCTGACCTGCTTCTCATACACGTCTATTTCTGTCTGACCGGCACAGTGTCCGGTTCCCCCCCCGCAGGGTCCCGTCTCCCCCCCCGTCTCTCCGGTGCCGCTTCGCCTCCGTTCCCTCCTCGTGCGCCATGTTGTCGGGTTGAACCCCGTTTCTTCTTGTTTTAAAATGAGTGCGTCCAGGGTGTCCAACGTGTCCTTTCACGTCTCCAACCTGTTGGATAAGATGACGTCATCTGACAAAGACTTTCGGTGAGCGCGTCACTTTGTTTAAACTCTAAACTTCTACACTTCCTCCGTGTACTAAGATACTTGTAGTACCATAAGTCGTCTTATTTAGAATCACTTTACTGGCTTATAATTATTAATTAATGATTATTTAATAACTGTTCTGGGTCGTTTGTGATTCTACGAAGGGATCAGAAGACTAATTTATCTAAATTTATCCTAATATATGTACAAGTTGATTGTATGTAGTTTAAATATTCTGTAAAGATCAGATAAATGTAGTAGTACAATATTTACTGAGCAGAAATAAAAATACTCAAGTACAAGTACAAGTACTTCAATGTGTCTCTCTTTGTATGTCCACATGTGTGTCTCTGTGAGTTCTTGTGTGTCTCTCTCTCTGTGTCCTTGTGTGTATCTCTTTGTGTGTCCTTGTGTGTGTCTCTCTGTGTGTGTCCCTCTGTGTGTTCCTGTGTGTGTCTCTCTGTGTGTGTCCCTCTGTGTGTTCCTGTGTGTGTCTCTGTGTGTCCTTGTGTGTATCTCTTTGTGTGTCCTTGTGTGTGTATCTCTGTGTGTGTCCCTCTGTGTGTTCCTGTGTGTGTCTCTCTGTGTGTGTCCCTCTGTGCATCCCTGTGTGTGTCTCTCTGTGTGTGTCCCTCTGTGCATCCCTGTGTGTGTCTCTCTGTGTGTGTCCCTCTGTGTGTTCCTGTGTGTGTCTCTGTGTGTCCTTGTGTGTGTCTCTCTGTGTGTGTCCCTCTGTGCATCCCTGTGTGTGTCTCTGTGTGTCCTTGTGTGTGTCTCTCTGTGTGTGTCCCTCTGTGGATCCCTGCCTGTGTCTCTGTGTGTCCTTATGTGTGTCTCTCTGTGTGTGTCCCTCTGTGTGTTCCTGTGTGTGTCTCTCTTTGTGTGTCCCCTTGTGTGTCTCCAGCTTCATGGCCACCAACGACCTGATGCTGGAGCTGCAGAAGGACAGCACGAAGCTGGACGAGGACAGCGAGAGGAAGGTGGTGACGATGGTCCTCAGGCTGCTGGAGGACAAGAACGGGGAGGTCCAGAACCTGGCGGTCAGATGGTCCGTGACTAATTCACTCCTTCACTACTAAGAGCAACATCTCATGTTCTTCTGTTCTCATGTTCTCTGTTCAGCAACATCTCATGTTCTTCTGTTCTCATGTGAATCGTTTGGTTGGAGACTGAGAAAACAGCCGAGGAGCCAAAGAATAAAACCAGTTACAAATATCTGTAACAACACTTCGATAAACCTGTTGTTTGACGGGTGCGTTTCATTCGTAGCCTGGCCCCTCTGGTGAGCAAGGTGAAGGAGCCTCAGGTGGAGACGATGGTGGACACGCTGTGTTCCAACATGACGTCGGACAAGGAGCCGCTGAGGGACATCTCCAGCATGGGACTGAAGGCGGTGATCGCTGAGCTGCCTCTGTCTTCATTAGGTGACATCATCATCGCAGGAATATACATATTTACGTGGATTTGTAAGCGTGCAGAAAACGGCCGCAGGTTTCCAGTTACACTGGTGTCGTTTAGTTTGCGGCTCCGCTGCAGTTTCAACTTCCCGTTTGGTGTCTTTGATGCGGCTGCAGGTTCCAGCCTGACGGTCGGCGTCTGTAAGAAGATCACCTCCCAGCTGATGGCCGCCCTGGAGAACCAGGAAGACGTGTCGGTTCAGCTGGAGGCTCTGGACATCCTGTCAGACATGTTGGGAAGGTATCGTCCTTATAGCTGACCGGGAAGTCGTGTGCAGTGCTCGCTCAAATGAATTGATTGATTGATCTTCATGTGTACCAGGCTGAGCGGGGCACTGGTCAGCTTTCACAGCTCTCTGCTCTCCAGTCTGCTGCTTCAGGTAAGAAGCTGTAACGCCAGATTGCTTGATTTCACTTCAGCCAGAATAGCGGTGGTCTCACCGTCTCACTCTCTATTTCTCTCACTCGCTCTGGCCGTCAGTTGACCAGCCCCAGGATGGCGGTAAGGAAGCGCTCCATCTTGGCTCTCGGCCACCTGGTGCCCTGCTGTAGTCCCGCCCTCTTCGCCCAGCTGACTGAACACCTGATGACCGAGTTGGCCAAAGACCCGCCCACTTCGATGACGAGGACGTATATCCAGTGTCTAGCAACCGTCAGCCGTCAGGGAGGCCACCACGTCGGTGAGGTCATGTGACTGATCATGACATCACTTTTCATGCTGATTTGTATTTGTTTTTAAATAGTTTTGGGACTCTGGTTGTTTGTACCTACTCACATACTCTGTATACTACCTGCTCAGGTACTCAGGTACAATATCTGTACATTCATTTTATTTTGATTCGTAATGGTTGTGTGTGTGTTTGCAGGGGAACATTTAGAGAAGCTGATCCCGATGGTGGTGAGTTTCATCTGTGTGGAGGACGACGAGCTGATCGAGTTTTGTCTCCAGGCCTTTGAAGCCTTCATACGCAGGTAGCACACACACACACACACACACGCACACACGCACACACACACACACACGCACACACACACACACACACACACACAGACACACACACACACACGCACACACACACACACACACACACACGCACACAGGCACACACGCACACAGACACACACACACACACACACACACACACACACACACACAGACACACAGGCACACACACACACAGACACACACACACACGCACACACACACACACACACACACACACACAGACACACACACACACAGACACACACACACACAGACGCACACACACACACAGACACACACGCACACACACACACAGACACACACAGTAAAATGGTAAATGGACCGTACTACAGCGCTTTTTCCAGTCTTGCGACCCCTCAAAGCGCTTCAACACCACCTGCCATCAGTCACTATCCTCCACTCACTGCAGTCACAGCTACAGGAGCCATGTTGGGTTAAGGGTCTTGCCCAAGGACACATGGACATGCGGGTCAGCCGGCCTGGGATTGAACCCCCAACCCTCTGATTGGAGGACGACCTGCTCTCCACTCACCCACAGACGCCCTTGTGTCCATTTATTGACAGGTGTCCTATGGAGATGTCTCCTCATATCCCGACGGTCACACGGCTTTGTCTTAAGTTCATGACCTTTGACCCCAACTACAACTATGATGAAGAGGAAGAGGAGGAGGAAGAAGACAGCATGGACGTGGAGGACGGACTGGAGGAAGGTTAGTTATGTTTTCTTATCGCAGTACTGGTTTAAATGATGGTACTTGGCTCCTCCCCCCTGTGTACGTCACTGTACTTGGCTCCTCCTCCCTGTGTACGTCACTGTACTTGGCTCCTCCCCCATGTGTATGTCACTGTACTTGGCTCCTCCCCCCTGTGTACGTTACTGTACTTGGCTCCTCCCCTATGTGTACGTCACTGTACTTGGCTCCTCCCCCCTGTGTACGTTACTGTACTTGGCTCCTCCCCTATGTGTACGTCACTGTACTTGGCTCCTCCCCCATGTGTACGTCACTGTACTTGGCTCCTCCCCCATGTGTACGTCACTGTACTTGGCTCCTCCCCCCTGTGTACGTCACTGTACTTGGCTCCTCCCGCGTCTCCTCAGACTCAGATGAAGCGTACAGCGATGATGACGACATGTCCTGGAAGGTGCGTCGCTCCTCCATCAAGTGTCTGGAGGCCCTGATGGATGCTCGCCGGGACCTCCTGCTCTCCTTCTACTCCTCCATCTGCCCCGCCCTTCTCGCCCGGTTCAAGGAGCGTGAAGACAACGTCCGGGCCGACGTCTTCGCCGCCTTCTCCACGCTGTTGAGGCAAACGCGGGCGGCATCAAATCGCGGGGGCCTCGGGGCCGCCTCAGAGCCGGCGGCGAGTCGGGAGGAGGAGGAGGAGGAGCCAGGGGTAGTGATGCTGAAGAGACAGGTACAGGAGGGCTTTCACTGCGAGTATATGGAGTATGTGTTTTTATAGATATATATTCTCGTATTCGTTAAATTAACCAATTGATTTAATTAGTGTGTGTTGCGCCTGAATCTCGTTCCTTTTGGCCTTTCCTTCGGCCCCTATTCATGTGTCCTATTAGTTTTAAACAGAAAACCAGGAGCAATTTGTTGTTCACTTGTTATTTATTGTAATGAAAAAGATAAAAGAAAGATGAGTTGCAATTGTTTGGATGCCTGATGATCAGGCGCAGTCACAGGGCCGAGGCCGAGGTCGCTATCCGCGCAACCCGTTTCTCCACCAACTTATAGGCGCTCCTGCCTCACCTGTAGGGGGCACACTTTGCTTTTAAAAAGAACAAAAATGTGTTTTTTAAATTCATGGACATAAACTTAAATGCGGCTCCTACAGTGTGTCTGTCTATGTGTGTCTTTTGTTGGGTTCTGAACCTCTGATAAAGGAATATATACATATATATATATATATATATATATATATATATATATATATATATATATATATATACGGCTCCATCTGATGGAATCTGAAATCCCTCAGTGACCTGATCGATCCCTGATCACTTAATGCTGCAGTACATCCAATGACCACAGCCGTGGCTTAAAGCTCCATCATGTAAACACAACATAACATGTAGAATAACACCACATGTCATCACGTCGTAACCATTGTGTTTAGCTCAGTTCTATATGGTCCAATCAGAATGTCGTTCATCCTTTGCTCATTCACTACCTGACAGGAGAAAAAATTGGGAAAATTCCATGAAAGACAAATTTACCATTCGTCCCCAAGTCTTGTCGTTATATTGTGGCAGGATGTTACAGTGTACAGTAATTATATGACTTGTATGACTATAAATTGTGTTTGAGTCATATTGCATTCACTTCATCTAACATGCTAATGTGATAACTAATATCTAACATCACACAAACTACAATTCTATCACTAAACATTACTACATGTATTATAATTTCTACCACTGTTTGCGTGTGTGTAGGTGCCCCTCATAGTGAAGGCTCTCCACAGACAGCTGAAGGAGAAGAGCATCAAACACCGTCATGGCTGCTTCACTCTGCTCACTGACCTCAGTCACACAGCACCTGGAGCGCTGGAGCCACACATACCTGCTCTGATACCAGGTACACACACATCTACACACATACCTGCTCTGATACCAGGTACACACACATCTACACACATACCTGCTCTGATACCAGGTACACACACATACACACATACCTGCTCTGATACCAGGTACACACACATCTACACACACATACCTGCTCTGATACCAGGTACACACACATCTACACACATACCTGCTCTGATACCAGGTACACACACATACACACACATACCTGCTCTGATACCAGGTACACACATCTACACACATACCTGCTCTGATACCAGGTACACACACATCTACACACACATACCTGCTCTGATACCAGGTACACACACATCTACACACATACCTGCTCTGATACCAGGTACACACACATATACACACATACCTGCTCTGATACCAGGTACACACACATATACACACACATACCTGCTGTGATACCAGGTACACACACATATACACACATACCTGCTCTGATACCAGGTACACACACATACATGCTCTGATACCAGGTACACACATACACACACATACCTGCTCTGATACCTGGTACATGCACATCTACACACACATACCTGCTCTGATACCAGGTACACACACATATACACACACATACCTGCTCTGATACCAGGTACACACACATATACACACACATACGTGCTGAGATATCTGGGACACACATATATACACACATATCTGCGTCGATACCTGGTACACACACATATACACACACATATTTCTGCAGATATTTGGGGCACACATATATACACACATACTCTCTCTGATAAAAGTTGCACAACACATATACACACACACCTGCTCTGACATCCGGTACATACATATATACACACACATACACCCGGGTGGGGGCATGAGAAGCACACAAATATACACATTTACGTTTGCAATAACCGGCACACACAATCTTACACAGACACAGAGGCGGTAACTCGTGAGGGAAACACTTATAAACGTACATTTGCAACTAAAGTGGGGTGGCACACCTAGCACTCACATAAGCACACCTGTGGCAGGGTAGACACAGCTAGACACCCGATATTGCTACCTCGGTTGGCGCTGGAAACTTCACTACGCGCTGCCTAGGCGGACCTTTTGACATTAAGGGGCACAGGTTCACACCCATCT